GGTAAATATGAACATGCATCCTGCCTCTTTAGAAAACGCCGGTTCTTAAAGCTAAAACTCACCTTCTGGGCAAACGGGGTTCAGGTAGATGTACTTGCCCCATAACGTCTCTTCACACAATCCAATGTAATCACTTTTATGTGTAAAAATGGTAACATAAGTGAAGATGGTCGAATAGGAATATGTAAGTGATTTACCTTTAGCTAAGATTGGTGTTAACAATGAATTATAGCTTCATTATTAAAAAAAACACACTTAAGAGTTTTTAACACTTTGCTATTGCTTTAAAAAACGTGTTTCAGTGGTTGTTGAGCCTGAGAGTTGAGCAGTGTCGCATGAAACAGCCCTCTGCTGGCCAGAAACCACATTATGCAACTTTGTGGTTCGGTTAGGAACGAGTGAAAAGTGGAGCAACAGTTGGGGGTGAATGTTTCTGTGTCGGTAACTCATACAAAGCTTAGCTGTTAGCTTTTTTTAGTTTAGCTCTCCAACTAAATCCACTGTATAATCCTGATCACGCCCAATTTCCTTTCTTCCTTATTCCACATTTTGACACACAGAGAGGTGCTGTGCGTTTGCATAGAAAACCACCTTAGGTTTGTTTGTGAACTCTAAAAACTCCAAATTTGAAATGTTTTCCATCATTCCTCTCTTCTGGCTCCGCAACAAGTCTCGTAGTTTCACTCTGTCATTTGTCTGTGTAACCATGAGGGTTTTAGTTGCTGTAAACACTTTGATTAAAGACGCTGCTGAACTAGCATGTAGATAGTTTTAGTGGAAATGTTTATTGTGTCTCATTAAGACATTCCTGCAGCTGCAGCGTTTCTCACTGAAAAATGTGGCGGAAGAAAGTTGTCTTTCTTTGCATACTTTTGTGAGAAGAACAAACTTTCTTTTGACCTTTTTACATTTAGTCTAGCCGGTCCTCATAGAGAAATCATTATCCAGCATGAGGTGGACGTTCGCTTTGCACCTATATTGTGCGATTCTCTTAATCCTTCAGAGGAATATCTTGACATTTCCAAATCTCATGAATATCTGTCTCCGTCTTTTCAGACACCTTAGTAACTTATTTCCAGATCATGAATAGACCTTGTTTATGCTAAGATTTTTGAATATTGCAATGTACTTTACCTGTTTGCGTAACCCTATGGGGATGGACATTCATCCATGTATTTACCTCAATGGAGTTTGTTATAATTTGCGGCTTTTTGTTTTTCCTCCTGCCTCTAGAGGACTACCGTAAATCCTCTAATACAGGCCCGGGCAGGCCTCTATTTCTATTTGAGCAAAATGAACTAATGGTTCGCTGGAGTTTTTGACAATTAAAATTGCGCCCACATTTTCAAAGTTAAACACATTTCTTTTAACAACGGTAGTTTCTGCTTCAGCCCTCTCCCCCCTCCCCCTGCGCAGCGGCCGCAAACTCACTGATGCTCATGCAGCCTCTTAGAGTTCCTGCTGCTCTAAACATTAAAATAATTATTTCATTTTCTGTTCCTCACTTCTGATTACCTTCAATGGTGTCTGTTTGTTGCAACCAGCAGGTACAAAAACTAACTTGTTTTTATTTGACTATTTTTCTGTCCTGTCTGTTTATTATCTTCCTGCATCTCCTCTCAATCCTAAAGAGAAACTGCTACCTGGGTTCATATATATTCACCTTATGAGTTACCTTTGAACTGCAGTTCTAAAAGATCTACCGACCGCAAAAACAGAGGAGTGCGCGCTGTTTGGCGGCCGTATCAGTGATCAGTGCGTCGGAGGACAAGGTGATGCGCGCAGCGCCCCGCTCCACAGCATGCAGCGAAACGCATCAGGCGCAAATAAAAGACAGAAAACATTAAAGGAAATGAACCGATATGAACGATCGCGTGTCAGTACCTACGGTCTGGCACAGCGCGTTCCCCCCCGAGCGCAGGAGCTTGTCACCTGCTGACAGCAGGCTGCTGTCTTTTCCGAGGGCTGCATCTTGCCGGTCATTATCACGTGACAGCGACTAGTCGACGACAGGCATAAAAAGCCACTATAGTGAAGTTGACTAGTTCATACAACCCCTACTGCTGCTCCCCAGAGTGTTCTGCAGCATAATCAGCACGTTCTCTTTGAACTTGATAGTGTAATGACCTGGCTGGGGTTGTAAGCCAGGTGCATTCTGGGTATTGTGTTATATGTGTTTCCTATCGTTCTGCTAGTTCCTATGTGCTGATTTGCGTGTTGTGTGAGTGTTATGTAAGCCACAGGGAAGGTGATGTGTGTTCTGTGGAGCGGGTTGAATTAGCATGGTTAACTGACACCGTGACTCTGTGTGGTAGGAGCGTGATAGAGGATCGTGTCTGCAGCGTTACAAAGCGTTGAAGAAAAAGCTTAATAAAGGTCTGTGTGAACCTCTATTGCCTCCTGCTGGTTGATTTGGGGACTATAACCCTGCCGCTGGGACGCTCATACTTGCTTGTTACCACATTCCACCCGGCCACAATAAGAGACCGGGCATTATTCACCTCCGCTGACTCCGATACCAGCCAAAATTGGAGACCCGGCCTTTAATTGAATAACGGCCTGTATTAGAGGATTTACGGTAACAACAAATTCTTTATAGGGTGAAGGTTTGAGACGTTTTCTTGCCCGGAAACGCTGATTTTTATGTTTTGGTTCCTGAGTACAGTGCAACATCATTCTGGAAAAGTCATTGTTCTGCACCAAGACAGCTCTGGGATGATTAGGCGTTATTGTCAGAGGGTGTTTAGGTACCATTCGTTTCTGTGTTTTGAGTCCACTTTTTTGACTGAGATGTAATCTCACACATGAATGTTCACCGGATACCTTACTGTTGGCATGGCACAGAACCCACCTTTTCTTAACCAGACAATCATTTTTCTAAAGGCCTCAAACAATCAGAAGAGGATTCATCAAAGAAAATTACTTTCCCTCAAACCTCAGCGGTCCAACTCCTGCACATTACAAACTTAAGTCTGTCCGTGGTGCTTTTATTCATTTTAATTTTTTTGGGGGAGAGAAGTGACTTTTTTGCTGCCCTATTTGACACCAGGCTGTCTTCTAAAGGTCTCATCTTCACCGTGTGAGTAGAAGCACTCAGGCCTGCCTACAGATTTATCTGAGCAAACTTCTCTGGAGCCTGATTTCGCTGCTGGCTTTGGTTGTCAGTCCCGATGCTTTCCTTGCCAATACAGTGGGATTGGTTTTAGGGATTAAGTTCACTCTCACTGCAAAGAGGGACTTTGCATTTATTAGCAAATCAACTGATCACTCTTTATAACTTTCTGGAGTTAATTCAGATTGCCATCATTGAAACTACAATGTTTAAACAGCATGTTGAGGATAAATAAAACTGAAATAAAAACCTCTATTTTGTTATGCAAGTTTGTGTTGTGTTGCTCAAAGTAAAACTGTTTTCAATTTAGTATATAATAAACAGAGGTGGAAAGAGTACTAAAATGTTGTACTTAAGTACAAGTATAATTACTTTCATGAAATTTTACTCAATTACAAGTAAAATTACCTGCCTCAAAATGCACTCAAGTAAAAGTAAAAAGTAGCTTATTTCAAATGTAGTCAGAGTAAAAGTTACTTAGTTACTTTTTTGACTGTGCAAGGACGGGCTCTTCTGAATAGTTAAAAAAAGACAATGGGGTATAAATGTCAAAGTGGCCGTTTTTTATTAAATGAACAAATATGCATATTGAAGTGCAAAGGCAGTTACACTGCAAACTAGTAACATAAATTAGGTTATAGTCACAAGCCCATGACTTTTTCCTGAATGACCCCCCACCCCCCGGCAGATCCTGATAGGCCTACCCAGTCTCTCAGCCTCTCCAGTAGCAGGTGATGGTCAACAGTGTCAAAGGCTGCAGTCAGGTCCAACAGGACCAGAACAGAACAGTCCCCTGCATCACTGTGAGTCAGAAGGTCATTAGAGACCCTAAGAAGAGCTGTTTCAGTAGAATGAGCTCTACGAAAACCTGACTGGAAGCTATCATAGATGTTATATTCATCAAGAGCAGCTGTGAGTTGTTTAGCCACAACCTTTTCCAAGATCTTGGAGAAGAACGGAAGTATAGAGATGGGTCTGAAGCTGCTATGGAGAGAGGGGTCAAGACTCGGTTTTTTAAGAAGCGGGTGGATTACAGCATTCTTAATGTAAGCAGGGACCTGACCAGAAACCAGAGAAGCATTAATTATAGAGAGCACGCTGGGACCGATGGACTGAAAAGCACTTTTAAACAAAGATGAGGGTAAGATGTGATGACTGTTGCTTGACTTGCTCCGCCCCAGCCTCTGCCATCTGGTCAAGATGTCTTCTCATATTGATCAAACCTGTTGAATGACAAATACATAACACATATTTAATATATCTGGCAATTAAGTTTTGATAGAAGATGCAACAAGAATTGTTTTTAGTAATCCATGCCTTACAAATACTATAATTTGTGTCGACAGACTCGTATAATTGAACTTTAAGTATGTTGACAGGATTGAAATGAATAAGAAACCGATTAAGGTATGATATTAAATTATTAAAAATTACCTGCTTCAATGATATCGTGCCACTCAGTCCGGGTGGTCTTGAACTTTGGAAGAAGGATTGCAGCAGCGTCTTCCATCATCTCACCAAAGTGCTTTTGGACACCATCCTGAATGGCTCTGAAGAGTGGCAGACACATCTTGGATACAGTCTCCAGTCTGCAGAGTTTTTCTTTTAGCTGGAAGATCACTTGAGGGGCGAGACTAGGAAGCTCAAAAATGATCAATCAGAAAAAAAGGAAATCCCGACTGTACCACACAATGCAGTAGATTTCTAGTTGTAGTAAAAAAATAGCTCTCTCTCTAGTTAGTCTCTTGGCAGAGAAACTGGTGTTCTCAGTCTGAGTTGAAAAAGTTTAAGAAGTCCTGTTCCATATTTTGTATTCTCTTTTCGTCTTTGATGTTGCTGCTATTTGAACACATGCATGCTAATTTATGTCACCCATGTTTTGTGCCAGCAGGGCTGCCACAGACTCGGGGTGAACACAGGTCTAGAGGGTGACTGGTGCAGCCTGATTCCAGTAGGTGGACCCTGCCAAGTGGTCACCACGGGACTCAAATGGAACCTGAGTGAGTCCTTTCTCATTGGCAGTCAGTTATTAGCCTCCAGTCTGTTTTTTCAGTGGAAAGTTTGCAGAAACGCATTGAGCCAAACTGGATATATATGCAATACGAGTGTTTTGAGTGCATTTTTAATGTTTGAAGATGATTTTTTTATCAGAAAGAAAAGATTCTAAGTTTTCCATTCACGGTGGAAGCATTGCAAACATCAATTCCAGTAGTAATTTACAGTAACATTTGATTTAAACAAATTTTCCTTTGAAGATGCATAACGCGTCCCGTCGAGCTTTCTGTATTCTTGATCAATTTGTGAAAATCTATTGGAAGCTGATCTGAAGACTCCAGCGGTTTTTACTCCACTCTAACTCACACAGCCAGCTGTGCTCTTAATGAGTTGGCACCAGCCGAACTACCACCCATTCGAGGGAAACCTGAACCTTCTGCCAGCCGGGTTGCATAATGTGTCTCCACCGTAGTGGGTGTCACCGCCAGCGCCTGTCCGTGCCCGTGTACATTTTTAGGAGTCTATACGCTTGAGCGATCACACGTCTGCTTGTTTGAACATGTCGCTATGCGTGTTTGAATATGCATGTGTACATGCTCCTTCAGCCCTGTTTATTGACTTGTATATGAGTTTGTGTATGTTTTATCTAAGCTACAATGTGTAGTACAGTGTATTTACTCGGTGCACCTGTAAGGTGGCCTTCCGAATGGTAATGAGGGGGGTTTAATACATCAGAGTCTTATGCAGATTAGACAGTGATAACAAGATGCATAATTAACCACATGCATATTTAGAAGGCAAGAAGTAATGACTTCCCTCTGAGGTTTGGGGAAAGAAATAAAATATTGAACTAAAATTTGAGATTTTTTTTTTCTGAGACTTTAGGCTGCTGCATGTTCTGTGTGGTTGCGTCTACGATGTATGTTGACATTTCTTGCTTCCTGTGGGTTTTTTGTTTGTTTGTTTTGACTGTATAAATGTGTTTTTGCACTAGAATTAAATCCAGCTTGCTCGGGGAAGCCCAAGTCGGAGCAGTGCCATTCTCGAGTGACATAAAGACTTTTTAGAAGTTCATTGAAATGATGCCCCACATTTGGGTTCAAAGCATTTCTATGATGAAAAATGTATGATATATTCTATAAAGAAAGAGTTTTAATCTGTCAGCCACTACAGCCTTGCTCTCACCCTAAGGGGCATTTTTTGGTTACATCCAGACGTTTTTTTTTTTACTCATTAGAAAGAATAAAATTCTTTCAAGCAGGAGTAAATGCCGCGATTCGTCTTGTCTTAATCTAGTTTGTAAATTTCAAATGAGTTGTCAGTTGTTGAGCAAATATTCTTTTCTGTTATTACTTTGGGGGAATTTGCAGGACCAGCTGGAATAGCCTTGTCTCCAGTTACGTTTTTGACTTTTATCTATAACTTAAATAGTTGTGATATCGGATTCCATGTTTACTTGCGGAAATGTTTTAAAACCTAATAGTACCGTGTTGAAAACTATTGGAGTTGAGAAAGCAAATGTGATTGTGATGTGATTGTGATTTTTTTCTTCAGTGAGCCCTAAAGGGGGATAAAGTCCGTGCTGTTTTGGAACATTCTGCTCAATGTATTGGTTTACCAAAATTACTGGTGTACTCTGGTACCAGTCCACCCATCCATCCATCATTCCATCCATCCATCCATCCATCCATCCATTATCATCCACTTGTCTGCAGTGGGATTTTGGGGGCAGCAGCCTAAGCAGAGAGGCCCAGACTTCCCTCTCTCCAGCCACTTGGGCCAGCTCCTTCAGGGGAATCCCAAGATGTCCCCTGGCCAGCCGAGAGTCTTGGTCTTCTCTGAGTTGGGTGTGCCTGGAAAACTTCACCAGGGAGGCATCCTATCTAGATGCCTGAGCCACTTCAACTGGCTCCCTCTTGATGTGGGGGAGTAGTGGGTCTACTCTGAGCGCCTCCTGGATGAATGAGCTTCTCACCCTATCTCTAAGGCAGAGCCCAGACACCCTCAGAGAAAACTGATTACGGCCGCTTGTATCCACGATCTCATTCTTTCAGTCACTACTCAAAGCTCATGATCATAGGTGAGGGTAGGAACGTAGATCAACCGGTAAATGGAGAGCTTCGCCTCCTGGTTCAGCCTCAGACCCAGCCCCAATCTCCTCATCAGCCTCACGCTCTGTATTTCCCTCTGGTACCAGTCACATCATGAATGCCCTGTCATTTCTGCAACTTGCAAATAATTGTTAATCAGCTCATGTATGCAAATTCTTCCAACAGTCAGATCAGGAAATCTGAAAGAAGAGTTAGACCGCAGAGTAGTTGAAGCTGGTGAGAGAGGAAGCTGGTTGTCAGCAAAGTAAAATCTAACAAGTTCAATTAAGTAAACTAATTTAGCTCATGTTGATTTCTCTTGATACGCCCCATCAATAAAGTATTCCTAATTACAATTTCATCACTCTGACCACACTTACCTGACATTTCCTATCCCCTTTTGTGTAAATGTAATTACCAAAAACACATGCCAGAACCTAATGGGTTGTCCCAGGAAGAGGAGTTTTTAGAGTATCGTATGATTTAGACTTGTGTCGAAGCCTTCTGGGAAATATAGTTGTACCTAACCGTGAGCTCACGTAGTCACACAGCTTCTATCACTGCTCATTCAGAAGCTAAACAGGACTGATTTGCTCTGCCAGGTTTACTAAACCAAGAGTTTAATATAGAAGATCAGCTTTACATGTGATGCTGAGGCTGATGTGTCTTTTTTAGAGTCGACACGAGACAATAGTTACAGAGAGGGCTGCCGGAGTTAACAGAATAATAATGTGGTGATGCCATGTCACTTTAACTGCTTAAAAATGAGTATGGATGCAAGTGAAGGTATAATTAGGTAATGCACCACATCTGTTTGACAAGCACCAAACAAAATGGGGAAAAGAAATCACCTCATGCTTTTTGAATAAGGCAGCTTAGTCCTTAATGTGCTACCTACTGTGTAGCATTTAGACCCAGCCTATCCGTTCAGTTCTCAGCATAAATCAGACACGACTTGATTGAAAAGCAATGATCTCCAACTAAGTAACAATGGCGTTCAACTTACCTGAGAACACTAGCATCGTAATGCTCTGTTTGCTTATATGTGATAATAACTTTATAGTGTGTGTATCATGTTTGCAGTGACAAGGAAGATGAGGCCCACTTCATAATACACTGCCTGGCCAAAAACAAGCTCACACTGTAATACTTCATTGGACCTCCTTTAGCTTTGCTTACAGCTAGGGATGGGTACAGAATTCGGTACTTTTTAAGGTACTGACCGAATTCCATAGTACTGACCGAGCACCGATTCACTTCATTTGAAACAGTGCCTCGTTTCGGTACCCGTTCTTCACAATGAGAACTTGCCTAGACAGATGCGCATGCGCAAGAGCGTTAAGTCATCGGCCGCTGCGAGCGAGTTGTAAACAGAGCAGCACGGTAGAAAGAACGCACGCTAACGCTTGGGTCCACTTCACTAAATGTGATGGGTAACTGGGTGATGATGAAACCAGCGACAACAATCTAAGTGAGACATCCTCATCTTAATCTGATCCGGTAGGTAAATAAAATGTAAGATAACGTTACCTTGATATGTTAGCTTCCGTTGCCACCGTTATCATCTAATGGTGCGTTCGCTTTCTCCTCGGAAATTCTAACTTCCCAGTAGGAAAAATCAAAAGAAAAAAGGACGGCAAAAGGAATGAAGATACACAGTAAATTTAGTTCACAGTAAAGATGTTTGCTTCAGTTTAATTATCAGCTTATAAAACTACAAGGACGATGTTAAAATACAAACAGTTGTATGTTATTTATCGTGATATTTATCAAATATGGTTATATATTGAGAAAAATGTGTATCTAATTGTAAAAGAGAATTAAAATATTAAACACTCAAAAGTATCGAAAATTGGTACCGTTAAGTACCGGTATCGATTCGTAGGTACCGGGAATTAGTACCGGATCGGTTCAAATGTCAAAGGTACCCATCCCTACTTACAGCACACATTCACTGTGGCTTTGTTTCGATAAGCTTCTGCAATGTCACCAGATTTATTTCCATCCATCGTTGCATGAATTCTTCACCAAGATCTTGCATTGATGGTGGAAGAGTCTGAGCGCTGCACAAAGTCTTCTCCAGCGTCCCAGAGATCCTCGATGGGGTTAAGGTCTGGACTCTGTGGCCAATCCATGTGTGAAAATGATGCCTCGTGCTCCCGGAGCCACGCTTTTACTATATGAGCCCCATGAATCATTTTTATTCATTTTAATGCCATAGAAAGCTGTGTGACGTAGACCTGACGGCAAACAAGCTGAACATTTAAAAGTTATACATGAACCTGCTGGACAACTTTTGATTGAAGGGATGAAATACATTTCTCAAATGTACTATGATTCAACCAAACTCCCAACAAGTCATTGGTCTTGTTAACTTGGAATTGTTCCAGTCATTCAACTCGCCTAACTTGAATAACATCAGTCTCTTTTTACTGATGTTCAACTCAAGCAATGTGGGGTTGGATTATTTCTAATAAAGGAAAAAAAAAACACTTCCCAAAGGAAATTATTTTGACCCACCTCATTGAAATGAAATGCTCAACCTGAGAAAAAAAAAAAAACAGAAATTTAAATCAGCCCTATAAAATGTCAGCAGATATAATAAATTACAACAAATAATTGTTCCTTCTTGAAAGAAAACGGTAAAATAGTGATTTTCGTTTTCACACCCTTATGTTGATTGTAGTACAAGTTGTACTTTGAGGGCACTTAGCCATCATTACAGTGCCAAACACAATTCAACAAACACATCATCAAACCGGAAAGAACGAGTTCATGAAATAGTTTTTTAAAGGATCATTTGATTTGTATACTCCTCAACAAAGGAGCGTAATTCATCCTGATCAGGTGAACCATGAGGGAGGAGAGGAGCAGGTTGCCACTATCTTTTACAACAATTTCCAAGCATTAGTTTG